AGTTAAGCTCAAAACTAACGTAAGCTTTGTTTCAATACCTGTCGCCATCTATTGGCAAAAAGCTTTGAAACTTAACAAAAGAAAAAACGACAGAACTTTCCTATACACCTAATAAATAATTATGGGCGGTATCCAAATAATGTATTTCATGCTATCGTATATCGTTCGTGCTGCTCACTATTTCTAATGTTACGTTGTCACAGGAATGTGTTTAGTTCAAGTGATATTTACGGTTATCGATATGCGAGTGTTGAAAGCGCGAAGTTTAAAACAAATGTAATAGGAAAAGTGAGAAAAGTGAAGTTGGCACATACAGGAGGGGAATTGAAATCAGTAAATACTCATCCAAAAGGATAGATTTCAGAGTATTTATTTTAAATATTTTAACAATTGCTCTTTATCTCCCTCTCCTAATGTGCAAAACAATGCTGAGATGTTAAAACGCTCACCAACTGGACAATTGATAAAAGAAAGGAAATGCATTGACGAATAGGAAGTCGTTCTAACTAATTAATAATTTCCTGATTAGATGTCGGTATCTAAGATTTGATTTGATTTTGATAATAAACAAATTGTATTTGTTTTCACAATCGGGCAACGAGATGACGCTCCTTGTTTCTTTTTTCCGCCATTCATCTCTGGACATTAAAACTATCCAGACGCGTTCTCGAAACACAAAAAGTATTTGTAAGAAGTTCTTAATAAATTCATTTACATAAGTGTAAAGAAATATTGAAATTAAAATTAAAGAGTTGTGAACAGTTTAAATCGTAATTGTTATTTAATTGAATATTTAAATACAACATCACAACCAAAAGCGCCCCATAGGCGCTAGCTCACGCCATTTTTCCCACGAAGCTTTACAATTTACTAAGGAGAACGTAACACTAGTATACCTGCCTGTGCAAACACGTATTTTCTCTACTGTACAGGTTTCTGCAATTTGATAGACGGCTTACGAAAAGCAAAAATTACAACTACAACTTTATCGGTTCCCTATTATTTAACAAGCACGAATGCAATACGTTTATCGGATCCATTCTGTTATGTGTATCCCACTTACTACGGGGCATCCAATAGAAAAGTTATCCTGGATTTACCGAATCGTGCAGTCCCGGCCGTCCGCTTTCGCTGGCTGGTTTGAATGACAGTGTAGGTTTTCGGAGTGATACTCGAACACCCGCTGTTCCAGCCGCGGGTATCGAACTGTTCCACGGGGATGGGAGTGAGTTATTCGGTTCACGGTGTCTTGACACAGAACGAAACTTTCAATTCTATCGGGAGCCATATATTCCGGGCGACGCGACGGCTAGACAGAATGGCAAGCAGGAAGACGACGCGTTTAGCCGTCATACCTTAACACTGATACGCATCGCGACAATCGGCTCGTTAAAAATATTTACATAAGGCGAATTTAACGCTGCCCTCTTACATCTGTTGCACGAACTGGTCGAGATCGGTTGCCGAGATATCAACGATGGATTCGAAGTCTGCCATCCCCCATGTGATTCGAACGAAATAATTGACTTAGCTCGCTTCGACGCGTTTCACTGTCTTCACACGGCTAACGAAACGCAAAGTTCAAGGAGGTTTTTCTCTGGCGGGGAAAAATCACTGCTCGTGGGCCGTCATTTAAGGGATTATGCTCTGTTAGGAGGCCGAAAATAGACTGATTTTTAGGAACTTTGTTCTCTAAAACTGTAAGACCTTCTTGAACAAATATTTTCTTCTCTAACATAATGTATTTTAGAGAGTATCTCCCAAGTTTTTTAACTAAATATATGTACCAATAACCAGAGGCCAATCTTCCAGAGGTCATTCCTACATCCCAGATAGAACCGTACATCCCAAGGACGTCCGTTTCATGTCCAGTTCATATCCGAATGTCCTACGTCCATTTTGGACATCCCTAGGACGTTGGTAAGACTTAAATGTCGGATGTTCTAGAAACGTCCGTCCCAAAAGTCCTACGGATGTTTAGTATTAATTTGCCACAATAATAGTTATGTTATTTGAAACAGTTAAATAAAATAAATAATTATTTTTTAATTATATGTTCGATCGTGACATAAAAATTGGTTAATTTTATAATGCAAAGAATTAAATAATTTATAAAATTGAAAGTAATTAATTAATAGTTCCAAATAACTTGTATTTAATATGTAGGGAACATAGTTTTATACGCTATCCCTCCCTTCTCCATGGTATGTTTTTTCGATTGTTTTCACCATATTTAGTGCCGAGAAAACAGTCACGACGAAAAGTCACGTATGTATTTACATACTGTCAGTGTCAAAAGTATTCGTACACCCTTTAAAACGGAACAACTTTTTTAACATTGGTCCAAACGACTTGAGTTATTTTGTGAAGTTAGAGACATTAGTTTACTAAATGATGTGTAGAAAAAAAAATTGAAAAAGATGTAATTGGTTGGAATGGCGTAGAAAATAGTAAAGGTCGTTTTTTACAACTTTTTAATCTGAGGCTATAATGAAAATTTAATATACACATATCAAAGACTTATGTTAGTTATATACATGTTGAAAATTTCATCAAAATCGGTTAACATTGCTACGAGATACAAACGATTAAAAATAAAAATCGGAGTTTTTCGCGACTTTTGACCTACAACTGTAGTATATCTAAAGATTCTTACATGTTTCGATGCGGGTTACTTCGTTTCTTTATTAACCGATTTCGATGAAAGTTTTAGTATGTATATAACTAACATAAATCGTCGATACGTATTTATTAAATTTTCATTATAGCCTCAAATTAAAAAGTTGTAAAAAACGACCTTTACCATTTTCTTCGCGATTCCAACCAATTGCAACTTCTTCAATTTTTTTTACACTACATTTAGTAAACTAATGTCTCAAACTTCACAAAAGAACTCAAGTCAGTTGGACCAATTTTAAAAAAGTTGTTCCGTTTTAAAGGGTGTACGACACCGACTGTATGTATAGTGAGTGGAACAAGTGAATATGCCTATGTTCGGGATTATTCCACGTCCATATTTCCCCCACCGACCCCTATTTACCGCTGACAAGCAATAAGCAACAGTAACAATGTCGAGATACACGTTGATTATCTTATCACACAACTGTCATAAAAATGTGTTACTGTGTAAACAAATATTATCAATTATAATAATATTAATATAATTTGTAACAATAATTTTTATACATCAGAAATATTAAGCATATCTATTGAACTCTATATAATGTTTAATATCCTAAATTTAACATTTATAGGAATATAAATTGAAAACGAATAATGAATAACATAATTCATGTAATAGTACTTCTTTGCGTAGCAGTATGTATTAATAGAAACTTCCACTTCAGTAATGTCAATACGACATACTGGTACCAACATCGATCAATTCACATTCACGTCTGCTTTATAGTCAAGAAACAGACTAATAAGTGGTAAAAGAAACTTTCACAAGAGTAATTTCCATATTTTCATTTTGATTCTAATTTATTGACCTTAGGTAATCATTTCTCTCCATCGTGAATATATATGTCATTTTAAGAATCGAATAACTTTCATCATATCTATCGCCATTAAAAAAGAAATTTGTAATTTGAAAGAGCAAAAACTGTATTGTACAAATTATTACCGTATTACGTATTCAAATGTCTTCACTTTGGGTGAAGTATTATATAAGACACTTTAAATACCGTGTCATTTTATACAAGCTGTTCTAGACTTCTAAATAGCAAAATTTTGATACTTTATTCTGTACGTTTCGGTCGTGAAAAGTTATATTTCACTGAAGGCTTCAATACAAAACAAATTATTTTATTATACATGAAGGAAAATAATTAAACTATAAGTGTCTATATTAAATACAAATTATACTTAGCGAGTCGCAAGTAGATTGCAAATTTTATGCATTCAATGGTAGACGAATGTGTGACATATGTATAATAAACTGAAACATTTCAGTCAATTTGACTGAAGACTCCCGTTTATTTCCAACCAAATGAAATATTCGGGGAAAGAAACAATTCCCAAATAGCACAACAACGTCATATGTACGTTCCGGACGTTCGGTACATTCGGAGGTTGTCCTGAAAAGGTCCAAATGTCCCGCCTATATCCTCGTTAAGATCCTTAAATATCCTAGGAAGGTCCTATTTACAAAGTGGAACGTCCCAAGCTCGTCCTATGTCAATATTCTCAGAACGTTTTTCGAATGTGTCAAAGTAACATTCCCTGTACTTTTTGGGAACGTTTAACGAGTTTTTAAAAACGCTATGGTAATGTCTTAAGAGGCGTATAAGAAACGTTTCCCAAATGTTTAAAATTACGGTTAGATTTCATGCTGTGCAAGATGTTAGAAGTTAGGTTAGATTTCCTGCAATTTCCGCATTTAGTAGAAATTAGATCAAATTAGTCCCTGTTAATAAATAAAAGGTTAAATTTCCCTTAAAGAATTATAATAAAAATATACGTCTGGGGGTCATGATCTGTGTGTAGATATTCTGTTTATTTTTATTTTCAAAGCAGAATACTGACCCAGATAGCACCGTACAATGTAACAATTAACTACTCCATTCCTCGAAAAACTTTGTTATAATTTTAATTATGGGCTTTAAACCGTTATCCTGTTGGAATGCAATGTTTATTTTTCAGTCCCGTTGTGACTGTAGAATTATACAAATTTTCTTTCGATATATCAACATATTAAACTGCGGTTAATATATTGTAAATTAAAGTTGCCACTTACTTTACGAGTCGACTCTACTATTTTATGTAGGTATACAAAAATCAAGCATCATTGTTTTATATTATCTTATTTATTTAACATTAACAAAACTATTATACAGAATTGAGTGCGCCGTTATAATTTTGTCGATCAAGTGATATGTACAATTGCCTTCGATGGAAGATGTCAAAGTGGTTTGCGTTTCTGGTCCAGTGAAACCAGGCTGTTGTAGTATAGTAATTGGCATATCATTCCCAATCAGTCAATGATCCGTTGTAGAAAATTAAGCTTTTGGAAGGTGCTCTCCTTCCGGGTGGAAACCATTTTCGTCGGCAACATAGTTCACGGTGTACGCGACATTGGTGATCGGGTCGACAAAGGAGAAGGTACCGCGAACCTTGAGGAATTGGCCATCGGTACCACCCGGGACCAATTCTGCAGTTTCTTCTTTAGTTTGCCCGTCGGAAAGTTGATAGCCATAATTGTAGTTGCCGAGACCGACGTTATCGGACGGAGTCTCCTTTACGAGGAGCACTTCCGGTTGTAGTACAGCTGGAGCCGCCAGGGCGACGGCGATGAGGACGGTGAAAGCAATAATCTGGAAAACAAACAAATACATTCAAATACATCAATAATACAATTATTTGTTTACCGATTAAAATAGTCCAGAGCGTAGAATAGTCCAGTCTGTTTTTGATTGTATCGAAATATCACCAATTATAGAGCCTCGAGTCTTCCAAAAAGGATAACACTTTTAATATTTAGTGACGATTATTTAAATTTTCCTCGGAGTTTCTTTAATATGAAACTTAGCGTGAGATTGTACCGAAATATTGTTATAAATGAATAAATATGTATTGTAACCAACCGAGTCGAACAAACGAAATTAAATACCAAATATCTGATTATAGTCTACTTGCTGACAACAATTTTATCTAAATTAATTAATCGGATATCAACTGTGAATAAATCGTCGATAGAAAGTGAACTAATAATTCATAATAAAAAGTATTAGCTAAGTCTAATAAGTGAAAAGTGTAGCATTGTAAGTAACAGCTTGGGAAGTGATTGAACTGTCCTTTTTAAACGAAATTCACCATTCATCCTCGTGAGAATAATTATATTTACGAATTTCTAAACCGTTGGAAAATAATTTGTAGTAATTTCTCGATCTTACGGCAAAAGTGAAAATTGTAAATCCAGAAGTATGTATTGTATACTGAGAGTAAAAGAAAATTTTAATGTAATGATAAAAAATCTAAATAAGCAGTTAAACAATAAGTAATTGTGGCTGGTGTTACACTTTGTATTGTATTTACTATGAATTTTATTCTTCAATTAGCAATTAAATTCACTATTACAAATTCGAATGAATTTGGAGCCACTGTATGTCAGCTGTGATACCTACGGTTTTCATTTTGGAGGTAGATGTATGTGGTTAGTCTCGTTTGGAAGACTGATGTTGTTTCTGGAAGCCGCCTGTAATTTTATACTGGTCGTCCTCCTGCCAAAATTTGCAGATTCCACGATAAATTAGCCTTTCACCTTTCTTCGATACATCAGAGGCAGGTTCGTGCATGGCTTGACCTTCACAATATGCTTGTGTGACTCTCTGGCGAAATTCAAGTTTTCGACCTTTTATAAAATTTCGTATAGACCTCTTGAAAACTTACGTATTATAGCTGTTCGTGTAAATTGGTACCTAAAATTTATGCGGATTAAGTTTTGATAATAACTGGTATGAAAATATTAAATTCATATTTTACTCGCTACTCTGAATATGCTATGAAATTATGCATATTAATCTTTAAATGAATAATTTTTACGTATTTATTTGTTATAATTAGAAAAAAGAGTCAATTAAAAAAGTAAAAAGCATATACCTTCATTTTTCCGTGCTAAGTCATAATTACAGTTATACATTATTTATTATATATTTCTACCAGAAATCCCTATTTCACGTGTATTTAAATACACGTGTACTATTTCACGGATATATACGTATTTAAGTACACGTGTATTATTTCACATACATGTAAATACACGTGTATTATTTCACGTATATTTAAATACACGTGTATTAACGTATCTGCAATTTGATTCCTATTAATTTTTAGGATACAGTTACTAATTTCCGAAAGCAAAATATAGTTATTCAAAATAGATGCGAAACTAAATTTGAAAACCACTCCCATTAATAAAGGGTAAAACCGGATAAGGGGATAAAAGTGCCCTTAAACTGATTTGAACAGGCGTTAAACTATTCGATAGTTTGTCAAGGAAAAACAGTTCGTGCCTCTATCTCGACTAGGAGGGCAGTAATAGGGAAAAATCGGATTACCGTTTTTTTTCTGTTTTTCTTATTTATGAGGCGTGCAAAAATTCTGTAAGATATATACAGTTCTTGTAGAAGTGCCGTTGGTGTAGGATGTAGGGGCTAAGCGTCAAACTACGCATCCGACGTGAAATTTTTCGACGTGGTTCGTGCCCCGCACAAAGTAGTAAGTTTTCTTTTTATTACAGTAGATATTAAATTAAATCGTATCATGCATAATAAATTCCAACAAAGGCATCTTTATGCTTTTAGTAATCGTAAAATAAGAAAAATGGAAGTCTTTGACCCGTTTTTAAAACCCCTTTTTGTCAACGCTTATCGAGAATCATTTCATAGAACTTCCTTCATTAAACATATTCGAAATAGATGATCCTTTGTTGTAAACGTTTCATATTTACATTTTTGAGATGTCTTAACAAAATATGTTCTGGATTTATATAATAAACGTAATAAAAATAAATAAAAACTATAAGTTAGTTATTATTCAAACATTTGTTTGTATTGTTGGAAAACATTCTACACTTTGTAAAAAAATTGGATAGCAGTGGGTGTATATTATTCATATTATCAGAAATAGAACTTATAAAGGACACTTTACAAACTTTGATAGCATTTATTAAATTTTGTATGTTTCAATATTATCAATAATAGTTCCATATGAAATTGATTAGCAAAGAAAGGATGCTAAAAAAAATTTGAAATATAGTCTTAATTAAAAGTACAATTTCTAAGATTTATTCTTCCCCTTCCACCCCTTTTCATTTCTATTATGCAATAAGCGTAGGAAAGGGATATCAATCACGGATATACCACTTAAAAGAGAACTTCTCCAACCATAAAAACATACATACGTCTACTGCTACAATTCCTCGGAGTAATTATACTGCTTACAAATGCAATATAACTGAACATTGTCGTCGCTAATAACCTTTGGTAGTTATGTAGATGCGACGTGACAGAATGAAAGTCCGGGGAAAAAAAAGCGTGGAACAGTATAGTCTTTAAAATAGCGTGGACGGTAGAAATGACATGTGGATATTTATAAATTTGCACGATCTTCTTACGAAATATCAATAAATTTTTCATAATCCCGGGTATTAAATCCCATCGAACGACAATATGGCGGCCTTCTTAATTGACATGTGCTCATGAGAATATTTCAACGAGACCCTGGGTAGAGGATACCGTAAGAATAATCGATTTCCAAACATCGTTTACAGATGAATCAAGGGAAACCGGTCATACGATCTGGCGAACTTTTACGACGGGATACATTACGACACCGTCCTCGTCAACCACGTAATCATCTTCATGGTGTCTCATCATTGAAGAGTCTGTGGTAATAGGTGAAATTGACACTTCATGGGACATCGACGTACGTTCACCGACTACCCTCTCTTTCTTTCAGAGAAGCACTGATTTTATAATTGGAAATTCTATGTTGTTTTGTCGCTTTAGTTAAACAGTTGGTGACGGTAGAACGACAAAATATATTTCGTACTCTGTATAAAAAAAATACTTTGTAATAAAAATAATAGGAGCAATATAGTTATTATTTATTCTTATAATGGAATTTGCTATCGACGCGTACGTTGTCACATAATTTATGTAATTTGTAATGTATATTTCAACCTTTCTGGTGACATTAAATGGCTATAAATTTTAGAACGAGATTAAAGGTGGTGAATTTTTTTTATGCATCCCATATTCACATTAATTTCTCTTTTATCTTCCTTGGAATCGCAAGCCAACAGCTTTTCTCACAAGTGTATTCCTTTTATTTCTTTTTAGAGCTTTATTACTAATTATTCATTTATAATTGCTTACATTTTGTGTTGTTATTATATTGCCTAATAAAAGGTTGTTTTAAGTGCATAAGTAAAAACAAGTTTTGAAAATTGATATTGGAGAATTTCTGTCCGGATCTATTAAAAATTTTGAAAATTGGAACTTTTCCTATTCAGATAAAATTTCTCAAGAGTTTGTCAGTATCATCCGACACAATAATGCATTTATAAGTTATAATAATATAATTTATATCGAGTCCGAACTAGTACCTAATTACTATATTGAAAATCATTATTTATGAAGAGCACAACTAGTAGTTAATAAAAACATCCCATGGAATTGTTTGTTTAATAATGTTCATTTCTTATTTGCAGCTTAATAAAATTCTGGGTAACGAAAGTATGCCTTTCTTATACTTGTGAAAATTAGTCTACCAAGATCATAATTTCTACTAATATCTACTATCTAGTAATTATATTTTCGAAAGATACAAGGGCAACGGAAAGAAATATTTGATCGGAAAAATTAGTACAAAATATACGCGATGAGTCATTTAAATCGATCCCCTCGAATTTCTTGGAAACCGTGGATGATATCGAAAAATGTTTCAGATAAAAGTTGAATTGATTTCGAGGGGAAAAATTCGTGCAAGTATTGTAGTTTCTTTTATAGCTGGACGTATAAAGTACAAATAAAGGTGAAATTGTTTTTTTTACATACAAGTTTTTATCTTTCAAAACATCAGTCGATGCTGGTCGTTATTCCCTATAAAAAAGTATTAAACTATTTATGCCGAAAAACCATTAGTGTAGGAGATATTTGAATTTCAAAATTGCGAAGTAGCATTAGTCGTCCGTAGACAATGTGTGTCGTTAACGACCCAAGCGCATTTCCATTTTTCCGGAACTTTCTTCCGAATATTGATATTTATTGAAAAAAGGTTAAAACATTTGACTTAACGCATGATTATATAATGTAGTAGGGACTTCAATAAGTATCCCAGAATTTTTAAGATTTTTTCAAAGCTTAAAACAGTCGAAGAAATTCGGCTTGTACATAAACGACCCGTCTTACTTACAGAGTGTGCAAAAGTATGTTTTGCCTACGGAGGGACACTACAGACTCCTCTTGAATATCGTCTAACTTGTTCTACACGATTATTGTCCAGGCTTTGTTCCCACTACTGAGGGAAGGGGGAGGGGGTGGAACCTGTCAAGATGTTCAGGCTTCGGGCAAAAAACGAATTTACGAGAGTTTGAAGCATTTCTCCCTATAAAATTTTTAATAGACCCGAGTTCGGGACCATAATCGTGAGGAGTCTCAATTTTGCAATTGATATACATACAAGGTTAGTCAGTAAGAACTACTATCTAAAATAACTTGTTACATATTGGTTATATTGAAAAACGTTTCAATGAATTATAGGTGGATACAATTTGATCTTTTTGTACCTATTTTTTTTTTTGAAATATCAAGGTGACCTTGAGATTTTTCAAGGTCAATGCATCTTTTCTGTAATACCATCATGTTATAGGTCGCTCAATTCATTCTTCCATGGACAATAACGTGGTTTTAAAAGAAAGATGCATTGACCTTGTAAAATCTCAGTCATCTTGATATCTCACAAAAATAAGATACAACAAAATTAAACTGTATCCATCGATGCGTCCCTTAAAATGTCACATAATTAATTAGAACGTTTTCTGATGCAACCACTAGGTAACCAGTTATTTTAAATAGTATTTCTTATTGACTCACCTTGTATCTCCTAAACTAATGGTTTTCGGCATAAATGGCATAACACTTTTTTGCAGGACATAACGAGTACCATCGACTAATACGTGAACTAAATGTATGATTCGATTTAAAAAAACAAATTAGACCTTCATGTTCTTTACACGTCCACTTACAAAAAACTACTCAGATCAAGTTATTTCTTCTCTGAAACCATTAAACTTTTATCTGTAACATTTTGGTAGGATAAATGTCCAAACTACTGCCGATGTCCCTAATATTGCTACTTTCTTTATTATACGTAATAAACATGTAACGCATAAAGAATGGTGTACAAAAAATTGTATTATTCAATTGCAACTCTGATTTACATAAAAACAAAGAAATAATGCGACCACATAAGTAAGAAGTGATACTAAAGAAAAAGACGTAATTTTACTATTCAACCTGTATCTTTTGTACAAAATGAATTGTTAAAGTACATAAGATTTACTTTAATTTTTGAAGTGACAGTTATAGGGATAACTAGGATTGCTCGCAGATTTTACATTTAACATATAAAACTATTTTTTTTTAACGAAAGAGATGTTAAAAATAAATATGTATTGTTGCGTGGGCGCGGCATGACTTCCAATAAATAAAGGCAACATTGATAAAAAGGAAGAATTATTTATTTAAAGAGGAGGAGTACTTATCTTGACACGTCTTTTCTGTTCTACGGTCATACCACGACTCTACTTTGTCCCTGTTTTGGGCATCGTTACCAAAACGACGACGGTAATCTGAAGTCTCTTGCCTTAATATTATACAATACGTGCTACAAAGGTGACGTCTAAAGGTGACAGGCGAATAAGAAGACGAGGTGTTTACTTGCAAAATTTATTTAATCTAAGGGGTCTATATAGTTCAAGCGGGGATGTGCTCTCCCTCGGGGTGGAAACCATTCTCGTCAGCGACATAGTTGACGGTGTATCTGACGTTGGTCTGCGGGTCGACCCAGGTGAAGCTGCCGCGAACAGCGAGCGCCTCGTTCTCGGTTCCTTGGTTGATTACCTCCGCGGTTTCCTGATGCGATTGACCGTTGGACAATTCGTAGCCGTAGTTGTAACCGCCGACACCAATGTTGTCGGAGGGCGTCTCCTTGACCAGGACGACATTCTCCTCGGGCACGAGCTGGGGTGCAGCGAATGCGACGGCGACAAAGAAGGCGACAGCAATGAACTGCGAAGAAAGTGAAACAGTTAACACTTCGTAAAAAGAACATTGAAAAATACCAGCCCGTGCAGTAGTCCCGTCGAAAGAGTTTCATTGGATGAACGTTAATTCGCAAAGTACACAAAAAGATTATTTTATATCGTGCAATGAACGAAGGAGGAGCTTCTCGCGGTTGATTATCGAAAATGCAATGGGGATCGTTATTCACGATGTCTATTTACGGAATACATGTAGGTATACAGGGGAAGGTTGCCGAATTTAGACCATTGTTTAAATTGGACCACTATTATAACCTGTCATGTGTAAGCAATTTGCGCCATTTGATGGACAATTGCTCATATATGTATGTACTAAGTTCCTTAATGCAATCACCATTACCATACACATATTGTCCATAAAGTAACGAAAATTGTTTACACATGACAGGTTATGGTAGTGGTCCAATCTAGACAATAATCCAAACTCGGTAACCTTTCCCTCTAACATCCGATTACTGGAACTTGTCACGATGTCAGCGATACGGAACACCATATAATCGTGGTTAACGCAGCGACGCTTCTGTAAATCGTCTCGTGTGATTCGTCACTGTCCGTTAGCCGCGCTCCCAGGTACATCTGCCCGTTATGTAAACGGTGATCCGTTAATCGGTCGCGATTCACTCAAAGTAATTCTACAAACCGCGTTTTCATTTCAACGGGTGAACAATGATAGCGATTCTACTATGTAATCGCGACCGGTATCGTTAATCGGTAGGTACATAACAATCCTGAGTGTGCACGGTAATTGGTGTGGCTTGTAACCGCCGCTGGATCGTCGCAATATCACGAACAACGCGTTTCGCGGACGAAGACGTAAGGATCCACTTGGAAATGTTTCGCGATCGACTACTCGAATCCAGTGAGTTCGAAACAATCCCGAGTAGCTCTTCCCTCTCGTAATGAAATCGAACGCGGTTAGACACTTGACGCCCGTTGTTAAGAAGCGGTAGTATTTGAGGTTAAGCACGCACCAGCTTCATGGTTGATTTTTGTTTTTTGGATGGTTGTCGGTTGACCGTTCGGAAATGATGAGACAGGTGTGTTGACTCTATGTGAGCTAGATCACGATACTGATTCAATGCTGGTCCACGGAGGATTATATACTCGGTTTTCGATATGAATTCTGCCCCCACTTATGGGGTCCCCGGCCAAAATTCTGCTGCGCGAGGATGTCGAAATCGGTCAGATGGCATTGGCCAGACGACGGTGGCCAGAACGACGACCGACAAAGGAAGAGCTCGGTGAATGTCAGACAGGAATTCGAGGAAGAGTAACCAACGGCGAAAAATCGTGGTTTCACCGCGGTGGCCGCATCCTCGTCGAATCTCCGGGTGCCTGACCAAAATTGGGTGAAACAATGAACGCGGATTCTGCTGGAGCGCCCTCGAAAAACACGTTCAACCTACTCATTTTAGCGTTCTTCGATGTCAGATTAACACGTTGATTATTCGAATTTTTACAGTTCGGGGTAAAATTTTTTAAATATTTACGTACTGACACCTATTGCAAGCTCGTTATTTGGACCATTATTTTGCCGCTGATTATTGGGTTGTATAATATCAAGTTGTTGACCAGGAAACCGGCACTTGATGTTACATTTCACATTATCCGAATTTTATTAGACACAATAAGATTAAATGGATTCCATGCACTTCTTTCATTGAAATAGAGGACTTTCATTATAATATAGTTATTATACTGAATTTCAAGATAACACTTCGAAGACACTTTTACCTGCCATGTTTACGTCGAATGTTGTCAGAGAGAAAGTTGGTAGATAGAATTGTTTTTCGCAGAAACTTAAACACATTTTTATAAAGTTTATTTACGAATTTGGTTTAAATGTCCATCTCTTAATGCACGTGGAGGAAATTGTCGAATTTAACCGAGGTTCTCAACATTAATTGACTTTAGTGGTTAATATAACTAATTTTATATTTATGTTAGATAGTACCTTGAAACGAGTAGAGTACGATGTTAACTATGGTAATTATATTCAATAATAAACGTAACGTTAAAGATACCTGTCAGTAAAATCGGTCATTTCATGTGCAACGATCCAGTAAATATCTGTCGTTTTCCTTTTATAAATATCGTTTTTTTTGTAAATAATTTACAATTTATATTAATCTATCATGTCCTTGGCATTATTGTTACTGGACAGGTTTCATTTATTTCTTAGTTGGTTTTATGTAATACGAATTTTTTTCACAAAATATACATATTTCCTTTACCAATGAAGGAATTTATTAATGAATCAACTCAATATATTAGGTTGTTGCATAATAAATATCTTTTTTTCAGCGCGCTTAATGGTAGCCATCTTAATTTCTACGAAACAGATGAACAAGCTTGTATCTCGTTCGCTTTTGTAGTGTGATTCAGATAAATGTTACGCTTATAATTTTATTATACAAAATTATAAATGTTTCTATCCAGGAATGGGAATCTTTTAATATAAACTACATATGTATGGTGGTACTCATTGGTGACTACAATTACAGTCAGTGTGTTAAAGAAACTCTTGCTTACTGTCAACTATGTATTAGAGTATAATAAATAATATTCAACAAATCTATATTAATAGCTAATTTAATCATACATGAATTACGTTATTATTAAACTGTGTATGTCTATGGAAACTTACATTAGACATTACTTTGATAACTTACGTTTGCATAGATATATGCAAAATATATGTCTATCAAAGTAATGTCTATTTCATTTCTTTGTCAATTAATGAATATATTAAGTCAAAATGTGATAAATTGAAAATTTTACTAGTTTCCGTTTAAGTTCTTGTATTATTGTACTTCAACATTATTTTAACCGAAACACATTTGTATCTTATTGGACCCAGTTCTTACAAAATTCAGCTGTTCTTTGAAAAATTTTTGAAATGTTTCATTTAATTTGAATGGTTTATTAATGCAATTTATAAATTTGCATTATAAACATAAATGTTTCAATATGTTAAGTTGACATTGCTATTTTATTTTGTTTTCCGTACACTTAATTGAACTGTGAATGCTAATGTATCTATGACATACAAATGTGAAAACTACAATAAAATTACAAAATTCCTGTTTGGTTTACCAAAGTTATCGTTTTTGTTTTTATTCAAATGGAATCATTAATAAAACATAAATTGGTCTATAAAAACGTACATTTCCATGATTATCAGCAGCTTAATGATAAGGAAATCTAGAGTAGCGTGAAAAAAATGGAACCAGAAATAACAAATAGTAAGAGAAAGAAGTTATCTTCCAAAAGTTACCAAAAATGTTGCATTTAATAAATTTTTATTAAGTACTACAGCACAGGAATTTGGATTTATTTGTTTTCGGTCAGGCATTGGCTAACCACGCCGCAACGTTGTTTTGAAATCACGAAATGATGCTAAAATCTCGAAAATTATAATTAAAAAATAGACAATTCTTTTATTGTAGGTAAATAGCTAAATACATACCTCAACTAATTTATGCGTACCTAATTATATTATTTCTAACCCTTGGCATGTGTAATTTAATTATGAATTTAATTGTGTTTCTCTAAAGAACAAATTTTAATGTGATGTATTCCTAGCTTTCGATGGAATTTGGCAATGATATTAATCAGGTTAGTATGTTGGAGGGTAAGTAACAAAATAAATATACAGTAAGTTTTTTATATTCAAGTAGTAGGTAACACTGAAATAAAATCGAATTTGTGCTCATCTTTAGACTTTTCTTTACTTCCCAACCCTTCCTAGTGCAAATTGTTTCGTAATTATTCTATATAAGCAGATATCAGACTTTAATAATCGCGAAAAAAAAATTTGCCAGTTTTTGCTACTTCGGGAGATAATGAGATATTACATCTTCCTTTTAGTAGGTTGTGCGAAGGTTGGTAGAAGTGTAACTGAAGGACTTATTTTTTAAATATAACAGAAATTAATTAATAAACAATATTAGAATTCAGAAATTTGACTCTCTTCGATTTTAACAATACTTAATTTGTTTTAGATATTTTAATGTTGCTGCAAGAACAGTGACAAATGCTAAGAATGTTCTTACTAATTTAAAAAAATTTGTATAAGTTATTTTTGCCGATATTTTTATTTATATTTGCAAAACGTCAGTGTATTATGGGATCAATATAAGGAATCTTGTCTAATCACCGTACACAACGAATCTAATAATCGCAATGTATTCACTACCGAATCTTTTAACAGAACTGAGAGTATAAATACGAGTGAAAGTATCTCAGGTATTGCCAATAGAGACAAATATAAAACTTTATTTAACCTCATCTTAAGACATAAAATCTATATGTATAGAGTGAATCTGTATTTTTACTTAAATTTAAATTGATAAAAAGTTATATATGTAATTTTCTATATTGTTTAATACATTTTTATGTTAAATAAATTTTTTCGATATAAATGATCATTATCAACTTTTTCTTCACGTTGATAATATGAGTTACAAACGTTAAGTTAATGATTTCAAATGGAATCACTCGAGAAGAAAGGATTAATAATTATAACTAAGCAGGAAT